CTCCATCACTACTACTGCTTTCTGAGTTGTAGTCTTCATCATCTACATTCATGCTTTCATTGTTAATCAAGTGAGAGTAGTGTGTACTGAAGATTGTGTCCAGTGAGTCTGAGCTCCCCTTCGGATTGTGGATAGTTTGGATTGGCTGGAGGGTATTATGGTCATATAGAGCAAAACAAGTAGGACACATAATATAGGTGTCACTATCTAAAGTCATCCCTAAACTCTTTGGGAGTGACTTTACATTTACTGGCATATGACTGATTGCATCCAGTATACTGTTTCGCCTATCTGCTGGGGTATTCAAGGCTTCGATTGCAATCGCTTTATGCGTATCATAGATTAGTTGGGCATCAGAATATGTTGTGTGGTTGAATTCTTTATGGAACAATGGTGAGATAGCACAAATGAGTGGAATTGGGCTCAAAGTAGCCAAATCATCTGGAATTAAAGAACGAAAATGTTCATTTTATCAAAAGGATGCCATCAGAAAAATTGAGAGGCAATTTTATAGTAGCTCACAATGTCTTGTAGTGGGACTCTGCCGCTGGAAATTCCATATGATACTCTTGATCTCTTGTATTTGGTCCAGATTCTTACAAACTTCCTGCACTAATGCCTTGTTCTTTTGTCTAGCTTTCCGCACTATCTGAACTCCCAAACTGTGTGCCTTGATGAGAAGTTGGCTGGGAGCGTGCTCTGGGTCCAACCGGAAAAGTGCATGGTCACTCTCATCACGAAGATAACTACTTTGTTTGATATATGGAGTTGACGGATATTCCGAAGGATCGTTAAAAAACTGAATTTCAGCACCTGACTCCTTGAACTGTGAGATGAGAGAGTAGAATTGTTTGCATTCAGGTGGGATAAAGTCTTTGCTTGGGCTGTCCATGTTGATTGGTAACACTGAGAGCAAATGGAAAGTGGTTTGTGGGCCAAGTGAGTCGATCACCCAAGATCCACTGTCAGCTGCAGTTTCTGCCGAGGACTCATTAGCAGTGGCAAGTTGCTTCACAGATAGCTATAGGTTTCTCATAAAAAATTGAACCATAATTCATCTTTAACTTTAAGTGGGATTATATGAAAAT